TGCGCAAATGAAGTGTGTAACGGGGCTAGACACAGTTCACATTTGTGCACAAGATGTGCACAAATGTGCACAGAGGAGATTCCAACTCCTCGAAGAGAAAATTCGGTTCACCCTTCACAGGGTCATCCACTCAGCCGCATCCACATAGCCGTTCATGACGGCACTCACGCCAGAGTCAATAAGCTGCTGGCGGGTGGGAGCAGGTGCATACATCCACGCAGGCAAAACGCGCCCGCGGCGGCGAGCGGTGGCCGCATCTTCGGTCGTGGCAGGAGCCTGCGTGGGAGTGGACGCGGGGGACGCGGCATGCAGGGGATTGGGCATCGGCGCAGTGTTCAGGTTCATTGGGGGGCTAGCCCGCTCCATGCGGTTGACGATGACTGGGTTCTTAATCTCGAACAGCGCGCAAAGGCTGCGCGGCGTGATGCCGGTGGCACGTGCGTAACCGATGAGCATCTCGCTCGCCGCACGTGCGTAACGCCGCGCCTCGCGGCTCTCCGGGTTGTCGTCGTCGTAGACGGCCTGCATGTTGGATGGAGCCTCCCATGACGCGCCCAAATACCCCGTCGGCGGCTCAAGGGCGAGCGGGTCCTCGCCCGGGTCGACGCACGTGGGGTGGTCGTCGTCGATGGCGACGAAGGCGGCGGCCGGCATGGCGCTAGACCCGAGGCCAAGACGGGCGATCATGATGCCGACATCCCCGATGTCCTCGTCGAGGTCAATGGGGAGAGCGGCATTGACGCCGTTGTCGACCGTGGCAAGACCGTCCAGGCCAACATGCGTCAGGTCCATGGCCCACGAGCATGGCATGCACCCCGTGCGCCACCAGCACCTCTGAATCGTACGCACGAGGATCTTCATCCATGACTCCGAGAGCCATGCGATGACATCGCGCATGTTGGGGCGGTAACGCGCCATCACGGGAAAGGCACCATCATCCTGCCACAGGGCCGTGACCGCGTGAAGCCAGTGCTGACGGTAGCGTGCCTTCGTCGTGGCGATCGGACCCTGATCGAGTGGCTGAGTGAAGGCGGTAGTGTTGGGCGGCAGGAAGACAAGCCGGATGTTGCCCACGATGCGAGTGCGGAAGCTGAAAAGGTCTTCCAACGTGGCATCGTCGTCCTTCAGCACGTGGCTGCTTGCGTTGTCCAAGAGGATGGCGATCTGGCGGTCCTCGGCGACCATGACGGCGTTGAGTTGGCCGATGAAGTGAGTGAACAACTGCGCATGATGGGAAAGACACCAGAAAACAGTTGTGAGCATCGATGACAAGTTGTAACATGGTTCACAAGGGACGAGCTCACCGCAAGCATAGAACAAACGCATCAACCAGTCCGGTAGGTGATCGTATCCTTGTTTGCTTACCGCCGCATTCATCCAGCCCTTCTTGTTGTGACGCCAGTAGCACAATTCCTCCGGGTCGTAGTCGGGCAGAAAGTCGCGAGGGCGCTTGGACTTGGAGATGATCAAAGGCCGGAACGCGTGACTGCCGTCCGCGTTAACGAGCAACCCGACCGTGAGGCGCTCCTTCGCCAGCTTACGCCCCGGCACGCGCGACCCGCCGTACGTCTTGCGCGGCAAGACCGAAAGAAACAGAGCCGTCTCGTCGAAATTATAGACGTCGCGCAGACGGAGGGAGAGATACATCAGGAGCTGCCCCTGGCAGGTACGGACCGCGGCATGGTCCTGGTCGGCGGCCTCCCCAACTGCGCTGCGGCACCGAATGCCGTTGCGGCGCAAGGCACGGCGAACCCACCCCACGGAGCAGCGGAAGGTAGGAGGTAGGTCCATTCCGCGTGCCATGGTCGCAACGTGGTCGCGGACAGTAATCAAGGTGAGCGGCACACCCGCGGGCCCGGCGTTGCGAATCCAGCACACCATAGCCTGCTCAAGCTGCGGATATGCGCCGCCACGCACGCGGACGGGGTTGTCGTCGTTGGAGACGGCGCTCCAACGGTCAGCTCCTTTGAGCACGCGACCAATGGTCGAGCGATCAGGGCGGACGCCGAAACGGGTAAAGCACCAGCGCGCCAGGTCGACCTGGCGCATGCGGGGGTTACTGACATGATGGGCACAGATTGCCCTCTTAACGTGCACGGGAACCTGAGAGCGGCGAAACAGGCGAGGCATGTTGGTGGCTAAACTGGTGAGTAAGTCTGTGTGTTGGCCTAATTTGCGTGCCAATTTATGCCCAAGTGCCAGTGCTCGGCTAACTCAATGTCGAGTGTGTTTCTTCGCGGCACCGTAGGGGGATGGGGCAACATTCAGTCGAGTGAATGTTGCCACATTTGGGCATGTAACACTTTTTAGCGGAGTGAATATTACCGGAATCGTGTTTGTTACTCGCACATGTATCAGTAACCACAGCGGGTGACGTGTGCATAATTGCACTTTGTGGACACTGTTGGGCTTCTATCCAACCTCGGCAATGTACACGTGGCGGTGCTAGGGCGAATTGGGTACGAGCAGGTGCACGATGAGCCGCATCGACGTGGCGTACAGTCATGGGCGAAATTGTGCGCGACGTCAAAACTCACTCCGCCACATTTTTCGCGAAGTCTGTCTCTGGCCTCAAAACAGGAATACCCAGGGGCGACGTCTCTTGTCATTAAGCACATGTGTAATTTTTGTCTTCTGGCCACCCACATACAAGTGGCCCATGCGCTTATAAACAAGGTGCAACTGCCCAGGGAAAAAGACACGGGGGCAGACTTTCTTTTTAGGGCAGGGCAATTTCGCGCGCAGGGGTTGAGCATCTTGTGTAGTCTAAGGGCGCTTCACCTGTCGGTTCGAACAACACACTCGTTCGAACAGGCGAAACGTTACTCGTTTCGCCCATGTTCGTAGTGGTGATCGTGACTTCGCGAAGCACAATTTCGCCAATTTGAACAGAGCTGTCACCTCAAGCCGATTTTCATCATCCCGCACGTTCGAACACGTTTGTTCGAACAGGTTGGGATAGGTGACACACAATTCCGCACAAACGACTGATATGATTGGTCCACAGTCTTCCGGGTCGTCCATGAACGTTTGCGACCCGGCCAGACGTTGGCTGTATTTCTAGCAATCCAGTTGGCTCCGCATTTGGTGGTCGCAGCGCTCGAGAAAACACACAAGCGAGGGACCCAATATTTGGCGACGTCGCTCTTTTGTGGGCGACGTCGCTGTGTTCGAACAGACCGCGTGTGCGAATAGCGACGGCGTCTCCTGTGATGGTCTGTGTCACATTCGCTCATTGTACGTATTTGTGCTCGAACTCATTTGGGATACTGTTCGTACAGTCAAACTGATACGTCGGTTCGGATTCTGGCCTTCCGCCCCTCAGGTGAAGAATCTCGTGATCTGGTTCGGATTGGAAGGGATCTCGATTTTTGAAACGGCTCCTTCAGCCTGCTTCAGCGGTTTGCTTGTTCTCGGGGCCTGTTTGTATAAGTGGCTTCTTCGCAAGCAACTGGAAAGTCGCAGCTTTCGCACGTGATGATAACCAGGTTCGCTTCTCGGCCGTGCGAGTCGGTTCTCCATCACGCGCGAAACTCGCGTTGATGCGTTGCCCCCAGGCCTGTCGAAGTTTCTGGGGCTCGTACTTGCGCTCCCCAGCTCCTCCGCATCTGACCCTTGGTTGGGTGTAGGTGTGCGGTTTGGCGCACTTAACGGTCACGGGCGCACCCCAAAGTGAAAACTTGAAATCAGGGCATGTTTGAAGTTTGCACTACACTGTAATTTACTAAGGGAATGTTCGGGTGCTCCAAGGCTGACTGAGACACACTACACACACGAGGTTGGCTAGAAAACGCCTTGGCGCGCTCTAGTGCAGGCTAAGGAGAAAGAGGGGGGGGGGGGTGGCTCGCTCGGGCACCCTGGGGTGGGGGGGTCCTACGAGCGGAAACCAAAACTTAGATAAAGGGGAGGACTGGTTTCGTCCCTTAACGCATCCGGGGAGGATCGAACGAAGCACTTAGTGGCACGGGTGGGGTACGAATCCAGAACTTGCCGCATCGGAGCTGGAGCGTAACTAGCCCTTAATGTTCAGAGCATTAAGGGCATATGCCCTTGAATCGACAGGCCTGGTTGCCCCCCCACCACTGCCGGAACGCAGCCTTCCTCCTGTCCCGCTTCCCAGCAATACTTCAGCTGCGTCCAACTCTCTAGCAAACAGCAAACCACAGCAACTCGATATGCCGCGTTTCCTGCCAGGCCAGCGTTTTTTTCCCGCTGTGAATGACCTTGCGATGCGAGTGCTGCGGTGGGAAGAATGGGTTGCAACGGTCTCGAGACGTCGTACTACTAGCTGTTCGGTTGAACGAGTGTTCCGCACGTTCGCGTTACCACTCGTCGTCTCGTGCCTCCTTCGAGTATGTTACTCATCGCCCCACGCTACTCCGAAAAACCTGACAAACAATCTATTCGCCCCCCTCGTAACCAATCCCGTCGCCGACATTGCTGGCGCCGCCAGTTGTGCGTCAGTTACTAGTAACCGCAGTGACCTTTCCTCGCCTCAGGCTCCTCCCAGTCAACCGCTTGGCGAACTCACGATGATGAGCGATAACTGCGTGACGGCCTTGAGAAACTTCCACGCTCACTCCTTCCCGAACAGCCACAAGCCGGCGCTGACTCCGCCGCAGCGGCGTGCCGCAGCCGCGTGCGGAAGGGAGCTGCAGAACGCACTGCAGCAGTGGGCGGGAGCAGCGAGGCGGAGAGAGGCCGAGGCCGCCGGCTGTCAGTGGCCCACTCCCGGCGGGGAGTCGCAGAATCTGTGGGCGAGGCCCCACTCTCAGCTCACACTCGAATCTAAAATCCCTATTATCCTCGCTGATAGCCTCGCTGACAGCCCTGGTGCTGCTGCTGCTGCTGCTGCTGCTCCTGCCGCTGCTCCTGCCGCTGCTCCTGCCGCTCCTGCTACTTTCGCTACTGCTGGTGCTCCCGCTGCTGCTCCTGCTCTTGGTGCTGCTCCAGCCGACTCCGCCGCGCTGCTGTGCTCCGCGACCTGGCGGCGGGCGGCCATGGCGCGAGCTGCGTCGAGCGCGTTCGTGGCGAGGGCGGTGAGGCGGAACCTGACGTCACTGGCGCGGATAGAAGCGGGCGTGGATGCTGTGTGCCGCGGGGTGCGGGAGGTGGAAGGCAGATTGGTGGGCGAGTTCGCAGACAAGGGTAGCGCGGGTGGCGAGGATGGCAAGGTGCTGGCAGCTGAAGCAGGAAGAACAGCAGGATCAGGATCAGGGGAAGGAACAGGAGCAGGAGCAGGAGCAGGAGCAGGAGCAGGAGCAGGAGCAGGAGTAGGAGAAGGCGCAGGAGCAAAGCGTGGCACGTGGCCTGAGGCGTGCTGGCCGGTGCCGCACATGCCCTTCTCCGATGTCAAGGTGCTCCCAATTCCCTTCTTTATTCTCCCCTTTTCCTCACCCTACTATTGTCTTCCTAAGGCTTCTTTCCATCTGAACACGCAAGCTTTCTCACTTTGCCTACCCAAGCAAGCGGTTCTCACTGCTCCCCTTCGCCCCCTGGCCCCGCCTCTCCCCTCCCTCCCCTCCCCTCCTCCCTCCCCCCCCCCACCTCTCCACGCAATTCCTGCTCTCTTCATCCCCTCAACCCCTCCCCTGCCCCAATTACTGCTCGCTTCGCACTCCACTAGGGAACATAAAAATCACTCCACCAATTCCACTTCCCCCTTCCCTCTCTCCTCCCCCCTCCCCAGGCCACCAGAGCGAGTAAGTTCCTCGTGTTTGCCCACTCCGACGAGCAGCTCTCCAGCACGCGCTCTCACCTCGCAGAGGCTGCCCGCTTCGCTCAAGCCACCAACCGCATCCTCGTGCTGCCCAAGGTACCACTCGTGTGCTGGCCAAGGTACCACTTGTGTGCTGGCCAAGGTACCACTTGTGTGCTGGCCAAGGTACCACTTGTGTGCTGGCCAAGGTACCACTTGTGTGCTGGCCAAGGTACCACTTGTGTGCTGGCCAAGGTACCACTTGTGTGCTGGCCAAGGTACCACTTGTGTGCTGGCCAAGGTACCACTTGTGTGCTGGCCAAGGTACCACTTGTGTGCTGGCCAAGGTACCACTTGTGTGCTGGCCAAGGTACCACTTGTGTGCTGGCCAAGGTACCACTTGTGTGCTGGCCAAGGTACCACTTGCGTGCTGCTGGCCAAGGTACCACTTGCGTGCTGCTGGCCAAGGTGCCATTTGCGTGCTACCCAAGGTGCCACTCCGTTTGTAATGCCTGCAGGCTTACGCGAAGGGCTAAGAGGCAACCAACGCACCTCTCTGTGGGACTCCACTTTCTCATTCCCTTCCTCCCCGCCTCCCCCTCTCCCCCTCTCCCTTTCGCCCCATCCCCCTCTCTCCCTCCCCCACTCCTCACACCGTAACCACCTCAGTGCAGTCGCAGCCGCCTCTCACTCTCCCGTGACCTGCCCCTATGCGCCTACTTCGACCTCTCTCGCCTCGATGCCCACTGGATCTCGCCCGACCTCTTCCTGCTCCTCGCTAGAGCCGCTCTCAACCCCCCCTTTGCTGCTGCCGCACCTGGCACCAGCCCTTCCGTGGCCTTCGTGCATCTGCAGATGCAGCAACTATGGCACATGCCTTTTAGTCAAAGCAAGTACCATCGGCCAAAGTGCCTGCTCACGTTTTGTTTAACCTGCAATCCCTAGTCCTGGCTCCATTCCATGGCAGTACATCCAATATCTGGTCGGAGATTGGAGAAACACAATATTGTTGCCCTTGGTGTGCAGGGTCTCTGGTGGACATGCTGAGTGAGCTGATGGTGTATGGCATGGGCCATGCACCGTCAAGACGCAACACTCTTGACATCGCCATGCCGGTCAACAGCAGAGCAGTTTTCCACCAGTTGCATAAGTGGTGCGCCATTCCATGCTGAATGTCATCTGTACGATCCCTTTCCTTACATTGTTTGCTTCGTACTTCTGGATGCCGTGGATCCAGGTTTTAGAATTAAAGCCCGAGTCCCAAATTGCGAGGCGCGTGGATCATGCTTATACAACTTGACGAAGTGCAGTGTGCAAGCTTTGAAAAGCAGCGCACCTGCAATTTGGGACGTTCGGGTGTTGACACAACCCCCAGGGCGAAATACGTGGGTTGGCTGGGTTTGGCGAAAAAAAACGGAATGCTCGAAATTGGAATCACTCGCCAAAGCCCAAACCCAGAAAAAAACCCTTGCGTCATCCTTTTAAAACTTGTGCAATTTGGGCTTCCGGCTTTAACTTATGGATATGATATGTCCACGTCATTGCCTGTTGCTGCATCCTTTGTACAACTCCTCCACACTTGCAGGCGGCACACAGATGTGCTGGTGTGGGTGAAGAGCACCTTCGGTCTGGTGGACTTTAAACCTCCCACAGAAGCCATCTCCTTCAACATGTTTCCGTACAACCGAGCATGGCATGCCACGGCGCATCGAGCCCTGGCTCGCCTGCCCCCCCGGTACATTGCGGTGCACTACCGCTCCGAGTTCATTGCCTTCAACCTGGTAAGTCCATCGTGTCAGAACTTGAGGTTAGAATCCAATCTATACATTACTAAAGGGCTCGAAGCTCTTTAAGTACATCCAAAATAAGCAAGGAAAGGATGGGGAAGGGAATCGGGGGCAATCTTTAGGGATTAGGGGTAATCCCAAGGCAATCTCCAAATTGGTGATTTGGAGATTGCTTGGAGATGACATATGGGTTTTGGTTTGGATGTAGGTCTACACCCAACCAAACACCATGTGCAAACTACACTACGTTAGGATATAGAAAGTACAAATACAAAGTGTGAGATTGAGAGCTAACACTAACACACCGCCTTCAACCTGGTGAGTTCATTGCCTTCAACCTGGTGAGTTCATTGCCTTCAACCTGGTGAGTTCATTGCCTTCAACCTGGTGAGTTCATTGCCTTCGACCTGGTAAGCTCGTTGCTTTCCACCTGGTAAGCTTGTTGCTTTCAACCTGGTAAGCTCATTGCCTTCAATCTTGTAAGTACGTTTTCTTCAACCTGGTAAGTTAATTTTCTTCAATCTGGGAAGCTCATGGCTTCAACCTGGTACGCTCATTGCCATCAACCTGGTGAGCTCATTGTCTTCCACCTGGTAAGCTCATTGCGTTCAAGTTTGTAAACTCATTGCCTCCAAGTTGGTAAGCTCATTGCCTTCAACCAAGTAAACTCATTGCTTTCAACCTGGTAAGCTGTGGGAATCTAATATCGAGTTAAGAAAATAGATTATGACTACGTGACTTTATAGGCACGACACAAAGCAGATAACTGGCATGTTAATATAAGGTACCGAGGCTCGGGAATTGTCGAAAATGGAATTTTCCTGAATTTGGTAGAAGGAATTCGGCGTATATCACACGTACGCCAAGTCACGCGGAAATAACCGAAATGAGGCAGAACTTAGTGCAAGCGACCTATTCGGTGCTAAAACTATAATAACTACAGTAAAAGAAACGAACTAGGAAATAAGCACATAATTGTAAATAAAATATATTTCAGATAGAAACGGACAGCGTGCTCTCACATAAGCTCATTGCCTTCCACCTCGTAAGCTCACTGCTTTCAACCTGGTAAGCTCATTGCTTTCAACCTGGTAAGCTCATTGCTTTCAACCTGGTAAGCTCATTGCTTTCAACCTGGTAAGCTCATTGCTTTCAACCTGGTAAGTTCATTGCTTTCAACCTGGTAAGCTCATTGCTTTCAACCTGGTAAGCTCACTGCTTTCAACCTGGTAAGCTCATTGCTTTCAACCTGGTAAGCTCATTGCTTTCAACCTGGTAAGCTCATTGCTTTCAACCTGGTAAGCTCATTGCTTTCAACCCGGTAAGCTCACTGCTTTCAACCTGGTAAGCTCACTTATTTCAACCTGGTAAGCTCATTGCTTTCAACCTGGTAAGCTCATTGCTTTCAACCTGGTAAGCTCACTGCTTTCAACCTGGTAAGCTCATTGCTTTCAACCTGGTAAGCTCATTGCTTTCAACCTGGTAAGCTCACTGCTTTCAACCTGGTAAGCTCATTGCTTTCAACCTGGTAAGCTCACTGCTTTCAACCTGGTAAGCTCATTGCTTTCAACCTGGTAAGCTCATTGCTTTCAACCTGGTAAGCTCACTGCTTTCAACCTGGTAGGCTCATTGCTTTCAACCTGGTAAGCTCATTGCTTTCAACCTGGTAAGCTCATTGCTTTCAACCTGGTAAGCGCTTTCAACCTGGTAAGCTCATTGCTTTCAACCTGGTAAGCTCATTGCTTTCAACCTGGTAAGCTCATTGCTTTCAACCTGGTAAGCTCACTACTTTCAACCTGGTAAGCTCACTGTTTTCAACCTGGTAAGCTCATTGCTTTCAACCTGGTAAGCTCACTGCTTTCAACCTGGTAAGCTCATTGCTTTCAACCTGGTAAGCTCATTGCTTTCAACCTGGTAAGCTCACTGCTTTCAACCTGGTAAGCTCATTGCTTTCAACCTGGTAAGCTCATTGCTTTCAACCTGGTAAGCTCACTGCTTTCAACCTGGTAAGCTCATTGCTTTCAACCTGGTAAGCTCACTGCTTTCAACCTGGTAAGCTCATTGCTTTCAACCTGGTAAGCTCATTGCTTTCAACCTGGTAAGCTCACTGCTTTCAACCTGGTAAGCTCATTGCTTTCAACCTGGTAAGCTCATTGCTTTCAACCTGGTAAGCTCATTGCTTTCAACCTGGTAAGCTCATTGCTTTCAACCTGGTAAGCTCACTGCTTTCAACCTGGTAAGCTCACTGCTTTCAACCTGGTAAGCTCATTGCTTTCAACCTGGTAAGCTCATTGCTTTCAACCTGGTAAGCTCACTGCTTTCAACCTGGTAAGCTCATTGCTTTCAACCTGGTAAGCCCATTGCTTTCAACCTGGTAAGCTCACTGCTTTCAACCTGGTAAGCTCATTGCTTTCAACCTGGTAAGCTCACTGCTTTCAGCCTGGTAAGCTCATTGCTTTCAACCTGGTAAGCTCATTGCTTTCAACCTGGTAAGCTCACTGCTTTCAACCTGGTAAGCTCATTGCTTTCAACCTGGTAAGCTCATTGCTTTCAACCTGGTAAGCTCACTGCTTTCAACCTGGTAAGCTCATTGCTTTCAACCTGGTAAGCTCATTGCTTTCAACCTGGTAAGCTCATTGCTTTCAACCTGGTAAGCTCATTGCTTTCAACCTGGTAAGCTCACTGCTTTCAACCTGGTAAGCTCACTGCTTTCAACCTGGTAAGCTCATTGCTTTCAACCTGGTAAGCTCATTGCTTTCAACCTGGTAAGCTCACTGCTTTCAACCTGGTAAGCTCATTGCTTTCAACCTGGTAAGCTCATTGCTTTCAACCTGGTAAGCTCACTGCTTTCAACCTGGTAAGCTCATTGCTTTCAACCTGGTAAGCTCACTGCTTTCAACCTGGTAAGCTCACTGCTTTCAACCTGGTAAGCTCATTGCTTTCAACCTGGTAAGCTCATTGCTTTCAACCTGGTAAGCTCACTGCTTTCAACCTGGTAAGCTCATTGCTTTCAACCTGGTAAGCTCATTGCTTTCAACCTGGTAAGCTCACTGCTTTCAACCTGGTAAGCTCATTGCTTTCAACCTGGTAAGCTCACTGCTTTCAACCTGGTAAGCTCATTGCTTTCAACCTGGTAAGCTCATTGCTTTCAACCTGGTAAGCTCACTGCTTTCAACTTGGTAAGCTCATTGCTTTCAACCTGGTAAGCTCACTGCTTTCAACCTGGTAAGCTCATTGCTTTCAACCTGGTAAGCTCACTGCTTTCAACCTGGTAAGCTCATTCGCTTCTTGCTGCTTCCCTAATCCCACCTCACCCACCTTGTAGGGGCACAGGCTAGCAAAAGTCGGCTACAAATTGGAGGCAGGTGTGCTGGAGGGGCTGATGGCGGGGTGCATGGAGGCGGCGCGCGACCTGATCAACGGCATGAAGCGCCGCCACAACATCTCCGCCGTCTTCATCGCCGCCGACGTGCCGTTTGACGGCAAGGCAGGCAGCGTGGTGCGGTCGGACTCGTGGAACGAGACCACGTGGAAGTTCCAAGGGGCGGAGAAAGAGAGGGCGCTGCAGGCCCCGCGGGAGAAGCTGCGGTGGCTGAGGGAGCAGGTGGCGGGCACAGTGATGGTGGACGAGCTCATGCCCGCCGTCAACAAGTACGACCCCGGTCAGTGCACGTTGCCTGAGTGGGTGCCTTCTTGGGTGGCTGTTCAGGTGGCAATCTGTACCTGGCAGGAACTTTGTCCTACACCCCTTCTCCTTTCTCCCAGATTGTTCCAGCAAAGTGCTCTCAGTTGCTCCTATTTGCCATGCCAACCCTCGCCCTTTCTTACACGCCTCTTCTTCTATTGCGTTCTACCACTCACTTTCATCCCCTCATTCTTTCAACCCTCGCACAGGCATAGTGGCCATATTGGACAAGCTGTTGTGCGCACACGCCCACGTGTTTCTAGCTGGGTCCATCCTATGCGGGGGAGGCCATTCGTTTGAGCTGGACATTAGCAACCACAGATTTTACCTCAAACATACTCTCCACGACAGATGGTTCTCAAATGTCGGATTGCCAGACTAAGTGGGTTTGGGTACTGTTGGTGTGTATAGGCATTTGCAGGCCAGCAGATATATTAGATATTTTTAAATCCCCTACAATTACTCTGGGGTCCACGATTATATATTGTCAGATGTTAAATTAGCTTCCGCTACAGTGAGTAACATTATAGGGAGCACAACCCATCTCTAGGGTTGGTATTTGTACTGCTCCTTGCTTGTGAAATCATTCCAATGTTTCTATTTTGAGATGGTAGTACCGCCATAATAAAATGCGTTCTTTTAGGGGGCGTGCTATTTTAAGCACGCTCCATAGTAGCTTCATTCAAGCTGGAAATGTTTTGGAAATGCCCATACACATTCAGGACAGGTCTGGTAAGAAAGGGCGTGGTAAACGGGGTATTGATGCACCTTAGTATTTATCGCTGTCCAGTCCAATCAACAGGCTTGTGATCCACTGACTTCTAACAACCTTTCACTGAAGCACCTAGAGTGCATGTGTGCTGCTCCAGCACTTGCTATCCTCAACCAATCTGGTCCGATGCACCCCATGGTGCCACCTCCTTGCCACCCACGAGAGTGCTGCCCAGTTGGGTCAAAGGAAGCAGCGTTGTTGAGAGTTCTCAAAAGCAAGTCGGAGAAGCGTCGTGGTTCTTAGCAGCGTTCCACACCGCCCCTCAGAAAGTCGCAGACTCGCCCCGCCCGCACCGACTGGGCTGCCTCCCGCAGATAGACGTCTCGCACATAGAACTCTGGCACCTGTCCATGCCATGCCATGCCGTGCCATGCCACGCCATGCCATGCCACGCCACGCCACGCCACGCCGCGCCGTGCCGTGCCGTGCCGTGCCATGTCGTGCCGTGCCGTGCCGTGCCGTGCCGTGCCATGTCATGCCATGCCATGCCGTGCCATAGCATGCCGTGCCGTGCCCCGCCACACAACAGAATTCCACACCAGGCCAAGCCAGAGCATGGGAGCAGAGCACCACACAGGCAGGCAAACAGGAGAGTAAGCAGCGCGATGAAGGAGGGGCGGACTGAGCTGCCTTCTTGCGAGTTCCTTGCAAATGATCGGGATAGGAATTGCAGGATTGGGTTGAAAGCATCTGGTTATCCCCGCACATACCCGGTAGTGCTATGGGGTGACTCACCTCGGTCTTGAGCAGCGTGTGCTCGCACCACGAGGTGGGGTCCATGACAGCGTCCTGCAGGTGAGCTGTCCCCCACATGCCAGCCCCAGTTACCAGCCTTGCACACAGCAACAGAATTGGGCACTGCAGTGACGCACCTCGTTCTTGAGCAGCGTGTGCTCGCACCACGAGGTGGGGTCCATGACAGCGTCCTGCAGGTGGTTGAAGTTGGCCTTTGTGCTCCTCACGTGCACCCCCCTCACCCGCGATGCTGACTCCGCCTCGTGCAGTCCCAGTGCTGAAATCTGTGTGTCATGGAGAGAGGGGGAGGTGTGGGGGCAGGGGTGAGCAGGGAACGGAGGAATAGGGAAGAGACGGAAGGGAGAAGGTGGCGTGGATGCGGATGGGTGAGCATGGGACCCGGCTTTTGTCCAGTTGGCCCAGACTTTCAAAATGCTGACCCGGCTGGGTCGGGTTGACCCATGGCCTGATTCCTAAAATCAAACCTGGTCGGGTCGGGTCTTGACCCAATAGTGACCCGACCGGGAATTGGGTCAAAATGCTGTAAATCAGGTCGGGTGCTAGGGATCCCTAGCTACAAAAATGTGCTATGGGCCACTGGGGTTGGGCTGAGCTCAATGACAGGTCTGTGGTGGGGGTTGGGTCTTGTAGGTTCACTGAGGTGTTAAGTGGTGAGCTGTGGCGAACTGGTTGGGAATGTCTGTTCCAACTCGTTTGTTGGGGACGAGGGAGTGCCTAGGCTGAGTGATTGCAGGCAAAATTCCGACCTCCGCAGATCAGCCAGCGAAATCGCCGATCTGCAAAAATCGGCGGGCAAAATCGCCGATTTGAGCTTAATATCGGTCAAAAGCGTTCGTACCCAACCCTATCCTTCAAGGCCGTTTCAGGCCAAGTTTCTGCAAACCTCGGCCCGTTAAGACCTGACCTGACCCGACCCACTGCCCGCTTGGCCCGCCCAAATCGGGTCAGGACGGGGCGGGCTGGGTCGGTTGCTCTCTTACATTGTATACCCCCGCGGTTTTCAATCCAGGTACCACTTCTTCATGCTTCCGCTTTTCTCACATGGTAGCGCCTCTCGCGATCCACGCGGAACACAAAGGTACCGTTCCCTCCCCTGTCCTTGTCCTCCTTCCCCATGGTGGTGATACCTCTTCCATCGAGCTCTGGTCCATATGTTTTTGCTGTTCGGTTCGACGAACGGCTGTCGTGCAGGGGCGAACACGAACAAGTTCTTGTTCGCCCCTTGCTCATCCATACTGGTCCATCAACAAACTCTACACAGCGACACCAACCACGACATTCCCATGATACTCATCTCAAACAGAAACCCGAGTTCACTGATCAGTTCTAGTGGAAACTCATGGGATTGTTGAGGATTAAGCTACCTTAGTCTTCAACATACCATCCCCAGACAGACGGCTAGACGGAACTAGTAATCAACACTCGAGTTCGTCTACAACAACACTATACACGAGGCCACAGGAAAAAAAATCACTTCTTCCTGTGGTATGGACGTGACCCCGTTACACCACAACAGCCAACCGCACTGGCCCACGTCCAAACCACTCATGACTTCATCACCACAATGCAGTAGTTAAGGGAGACGGCTCATCACGATTCTTAACTTTCATAAACATCATGCTGATCGCCATCGACGTGACCGCATGATTGGAGTCAAGGACGGATTGTTTTGGACACTCGTAACCTGGGCATTCTTATCTGCCGTCCCGGCTCCGTCCACGTTTCAGTGGACGTTTTCACATTGACGCGATAGTGACATCAGTTCCGCTTGCGTTTGTTATAGTCACAATAGGCTCAAATGTGCCTAAAACGAAGGATAGAGTCCACACACATGCATCAAACATTGATGATGTGCTATAAAATGGATCTAAAGCGCCCTGATGTCGTCTGGAATTGGCAAGTTGAATCACTCGTTTTGATAAAACACCGACGACGTGAGAGTAGTTTGAGCGAAGGGCGGTGTAGCCGCAACTATCTTGCTCTCCTGCGTACCCCGCTGCCCCTCCACCTACATGTGTACTTTTTGCACCCTCTGCCCTATCATTCACCAATTCACTACCCCCCCTCCCCCCTCACCTTCCCCCCACCCCATCGCACCTTGCGTGGATCCATGATGAGGCGGCGGAAGCCAGCCTCCCCGGGACAGAGGTGGGGGTCGGGAAAGCGGATGCGGTCATGGCAGACGGGGTACGGCCAGCGGAACACCATGCGCTCCATCGAGAACGCCTCGCCCTCAAGCACGCGGAACGGCAGCGCGCACAGTCGCGTCGACCACCACTAGCTGCCCACGCTCACCCACGGCCGCAGCTTCGGCGGCCGCGGCTGCCGAACCTCCAGATGCAGTTACCGCAGCGGCGGCGGCAGTGGCGGCGGAATCAACGAGGGGGTCTGAGAGGGAGGTCTCGGAGGAAGAGGTGGCGGGGTAGGCGAAGGGGTCAAGGAAGGAGGGAATGGAGGCGGGCGGCAGGCCGACGAAGAGGAACTCGTTAATGGCCGCAGGGATGACCCAGCGCGCCGTGAAGGCGTGGCGGTGCACACAGTCGTGCATTGCTAGCACTTGGTGGAGGGGAGAGGGGGGTGGGGGGGGTTTGAAGGGTGGTGGGGGTGGCAGGTAAAGGGGATGGAACGGGGTGGCAACGAAAGGAGTGGAAGGGGGAAGGGCCGTAAAGGTGTGGTGGTGCACAGAGACATGCATTGCCAACACCTGGAAAGGGAAAAGACGCAGAGGGAAGCACACTGTGTATGTGCGTATGCATGCGAAAACACGCGCAAGCGTTGCTGCGCGCACCTGCCCGTTCCTCTCAAGGTCAAACTGCTTCACGCCCATGAAGTCTGTGCGGCGCACGACCCTGCGCTCAAAGTCCCCATGGAAGCGCTCCTGCAGCTCCACGGCGAGCCACCCGCCGCTGTCGTACAGCGCCACCACGGCGGCGCCCTGCAGCCGATGGTACTCCACCGCCTCTCGCAGCAGATGCACTGGCACTGATGCATTGCGCGCCGATGGGAGGAGGCACAGCACCGAGTGGAAGGGGAAGGGGAGACCTGGGGCCGTGGTGGGGAAGGTGAGAGGGGCTTCCCTGGTGGGGCGTGAAGCGGGGGAAGGGAAGGCGTGGGGTGGAGCGGCCAGGGCGAGTTGAGGGGAGGGAGGTATTGGAGAGAGAAGATGTGAGGATCGAGAATTGAGTTCAAAAAAGTGGGTTGTAAAATGATTCATTGTCATGTGTACAACACGAGACTATATATAGTCTCGACACAAGGCAGGTAACCCAGGTGTTACGCAAATGTTTCGAGGGTTGCGAAGCCTCCCGAACAGAACCTTCCTAAACTTGGCAACCTGTTCAGAACCTGTTCGGTAGACGTAACCTGGTTCTGTGCTATAACTATAATAGAATATAGGAATGCGCCTAACTTAGAAAATCAAGTGTATCTATGCATGATAAATAAAACCTAAGCTAGTAATATCATAGTAAAGTCCAGGCAAACTAGCAAAGCCAGCATGAATCGTTGTACTCTCACAGAAGGAGGTGTTGGAGGTGGTGAGGTGGGGGTGGAGAGGAGGGGTGGTATGGGTGAAGTGAGAAGAAACGGGGAACTGGGAAACGGGAACTCCCGGGAGGATGAGACGATAGGGGTGAAGGGCACGTGTGCAAGGCCTTCCAGTAGCCAGTGAAACTCAAGCACCACCTCTCTTTCTCCACTCCTGGGGTCACCATTATCCCACCCACCATTGCCACACCCACCACTGTCTCATCCACCACTGTCTCACACTCTCACCTGTAAAGCACAAAGTCGTTCCCTTCAACGCGCACAGCCAGGAAGCCCCCTGTGTTGGGCACGTCCTCGCTAAAGGCGGCCTCAATAACGGCCTCTGTGTGCTGCGAGGCAGACCCCTGCTGCCCCAGCGAGTACGACACGAGCGAAGAAAGGAGGGCGAGGAGAAGAGAGGAGGGTGCAGTGCAGGTACTAACACGCCCTCACCCTGTGCGCCCTCCTCTTGTGCGCCCTCACCTGCAGTGTGTGGCGACCAGTCGTCCCTTCATGGCACGCAGCACCACCCCCACGCCCACCAGCCTGCGCGGGCCTACGCGGTAGCCACTGGGGTTGGGGGAGGGAAGAGGGCCACGCGGGCATGAGGGCAGGGGGCATGGGGCAAAGGGCAGGGGGCATGGGGTAGAGGGCAAGGGGCATGGGGCATGGGGCATGGGGCCTAGGGCATGGGCCATGAGGGATAGGGCATGGGGCATAGGGCATGGGGCATGCGTCAGGGGGCGTGTGAGATGGGGCATTGGGCACGAGGCAGGGGGCGTCCGGCATGGGATAAGAAGAACTCTCTGCACAGCTTCATGGACGGGTGGTATTCAATTGCACCCCGAAAACACCAGGGAAGTGTCATTCCTATCCTAATTTATACCTGAATCGGATGAAGACGGAGTTCCCTGCTAGAACTCTCTGCCTCCACGCTGATGCGTCTAATGGCCCATAGGTATGGGGGAAAAGGAGGAAAGGAGGCATGGCACGTACGGGAAGGAATGAGTATGGAAAGGTGTGGGAAGGAGGCACGGGAGGGCAAAAGGCAAGGGAGGGTAGAAGGCAAGGGAGGGCAGGGGAAGTTCGTAAGACGAAAGACAGCCATGGGAGGGCAAGAAGGAGGCAGGGAAAGCAGACAAGGGACGATGGTAAGCCGGTAGTGGGCACCACCGGAGAGCAGCAACGGGAGGTGCGGACAAGTTCGTCTCTGGTTGGGAGCAACGCAAGGACCTATGTTGTTGTCAAACAATAATTGTTATGGTTTGTTAGTTTGGTCTAGGTGTTACAATGGGTTACTCCCTACAGGGTACAACCCCTTTAAATTTTTCTATACTCCATATTTCTAGCCATTCGTTCCGTAGTTCATTTTGTAGCATGATATCAGATCATCGATCGATTCACTGGGCCCACCACCCCGCGCCCCGCTCGATCCCGCTTAGGGGGAGGTCTAGAAGAAGTCTACCCCCTCTCGCTAACAGAATTCTCTCGCCACGTAGCGTGCCTTGAACACCGGTAGTGCTCCAGGCGGCCGCTTTTTGTAGAGCCACATGCCACTGACGACGTTTGCCCCAAGTGGTGGGGCGACGTCGACATAGGTGCCTGTGGACCTATAAGATGTCATCTCTACCTCCTCAGCTGCTATCTAGTGCAAGGCCCAAGGTCCCGAAACCGCCCCGGTGTGAATGTGAGAGATCGGGATGTCAAGGGTGTCTGGATCCCCCTCAAAGGCAAGTAGCGTGACGCAGAGATAAGGAACAGCGGCCGCAAGGAAACCAAGCTCGAACTTTGTGTCCTCCAGAACCTCCAAGGAAAAGACAAGAGCACCCCCAGAGGACAGAGAACGAGCAGATACTCACGCGGGCTATATATCTGCTTGTGGACTAACCTCGTGGCCCCTTTTTTGCGCTTGAATTGTGTGGTGATTTTGATATCTATCATGAGTTGCATCTTTTGTTGGTTTTTTGTTCTTGTGGATTGGTCTTGTGATCATTGCTTGTTCTTGTTGACTGGTCCTATGACGATTGCCTACTCTCAGACTGTGTGGTGACTTTGTAATCTACCCTGGGATATGTGTTGCTTTTCACATGACTGCCGTCACCTAGACAAACTATAATTGTTATTGTTTGATAGTTTAGTCTACGTGTTACAATGGGCTACTCCGTACAAGGTACAATCCCTTAAGGGTTTGCTATATGTTTCCTTGTACTCAATGTTTCTAGTCATTCATTGCGTGATTCATATCGTAACAGTTGTGAGTGGGAGCATGCGAGCGAGAGAGAGGGATGAGGGGAACGGAGGGGAGGAGGGATGGGAGGAGAGGAGGGATGAGAGGATGGAGCGAGCCGCAGCACTCACTGGCAAACGGCCCTTGGGGAATGTACCCCTGTGTGGGCAACGGCTCCCTCCACGCCTCCTCGCCCTCCACGTCATCCAGCACCGCCTTGCCCACCCTCGCTGCTGCCCCCACTCCCCCTTCGACCCCCCTCACTCCCATCCTTATCCCCCGCCCCTGCTTGCCTTCTCGCCCTCCCCCCCAGCCACTGCTCCTCCCCCCCTCCCCAGCCACCTCTACACCCCCTTCCCCTCCCATTCCCCCCACTGTACCCCCTCCCGGCCCCCCTCCTCCTCCTCGGCCCCCACCTCCTCCCCCTCCGCCCTCCTCCTCGTCGTCCGCCTCATCCTCCAGGCTCAGCAGCTCCTCGATCCCCATGCTCTTCAGCCGCAGCCCTGTGCGTGCACCCACACTCTGCTGCTCCTCCGCCTGCTCCATTGGAATGCGCTTCCTTCTGCCCTGCCTTCCCTCTGCACTCTCCCCTCCTCCTCCTTCCCCTACCCCCACTCCTCCTCCTCCCCCTCCTCCTCGTGCCCCTCCCCCTTGTGCTCCCCTCGCACCATCTTCCTCTCCTAGCCTCCTCTTGCTCTCTCCCTCCCCTCCTCTCCTCCCCCCTCTCTCCTTCAGGTTTCCACTCCCTGCCTCCCCACGTTCACTTCCAGCCACCCTCCTCTTGTGTCCAACCCCACTCTTTACCCCACCCTCGCCTTTTCCCTTCCCCCCACCCTTCTCCTCGTCCTCCCCACCCTCCTCCTCCCCTTCTTCCACCTCCTCCTCTCCCTCCTCCCCTTCCCCCTCCCCCTCCTCCTCTTCCTCCTCCTCCTCATCCTCCCCTCTCTCTCTACTCACCGCCATCTTCGCCTCAGCTATGGCCCTCTCCTCCTCGCTCATCTCCCCCTCTCCCTTCCCACCGCCTCCCACCGCACTGCGCCCGTCCCCACCCTTGTGCTTCTTCCGCTTCCGCCGGTGCTTGAGTGTCTCACTGCCGCCGCCACTCTTCACGCCGCTGTCCTCGCTGCCGCGCTCGCCCGCCTCGTCCCTGCGCGCCTTGAGCATCGACACCAGGTCCGCCCGCTCGCTGTCCATCTCCTCCGGCTTCGCCCACTCTATCGGCACCACTCCCCCTGCTCCCCCTCCTCCCCCTCCTCCCCTTGCGCCCCCTTCACCCCCTTCTTCCCCTGCCCCCTCTTCTCCCTCTCCTTCCTCACCTCCTGATGCTGCTTTCCCCTCTCCTCCACCTGCTCCTGCCTTTCCCTCCTCCCTTCCTCCATATCCTTTGCCAGCCGCTCTCTGTGCTCTCCCCCCCTCCCTATCCCCGCCATCTTCCCCATCCCCCCTCTCTCCCCCCCCATCCCTTCTCCCCTCTCCTTCCTCTTGCTCCGCCCCTCCAGCATCTCACCTCCTGCTCGCCCCTCTCCCCTGCCCTGCCCTCTCTCCAAACCATCAGCGGCAGCGGCAGAACCAGCGGAGCCATCACCAGCGTCGTTACTGCTACCAGCACCCGCAGCACCATCGCTACCTGCCCTCGTCTCCCCGTCGCGCCCACCAGTATTCTTCTCTGCACTCCCTCCAGCCTGCTCGCCTCCAATCAATCCGCCACCCCTCCCCTTACGTCCTCCCTCTCCTTGCTGCGTCACCACTCGCCCCTACTCGCCCCCACCACTGTCATCTCCGCCACCCCCCCCAGCGCCTGCCCCTCCTGCCGCGCCCATACCTGCCGCCACTCCTCCCTGCTGCTGCTGCTGCTGCTGCCCTGCCCCTTCCACCGTGCGCTGCTCTTGGCCCTCCTCCTTCTGCCCGCCTGCTCCCTCTCCTTGCGTGCCCCCTGCCGCCGCCGCCGCCGCCTTCCCTGCTGCAGCCGCCTCTTCCTCTTTCTGCTTGGCGGCGCGGGCAGCAGCCTCCTTCGCCATCAGCTGTTTCAGCCGCTCGTGCCGCGCTGCCCTGCCACTTAGCTTCGGGGGTTCCATCGCCAATACCACCTGCCCCTGCTGCTGCTGCCACATGCCTGTGCCTGCTCCTCCACCTAGCACCACCCCTTCCGCCCTCGCTCCTCCTCCTCCCCCTCCCCCCCTAGCCACACCTCCACCGGCCCCGCCACCCACGCCCTGCAGCCGGCAGTCCAGCTGCATGAGCAGCGCGGGCATCTGCTGCAGCGCGCGCGCGCTCTTTTGCACCACGGCCAGCGTCCTCACCGGCACCGAGTACCCCCCCTTGCCATCTGCCTCCTCCCCCGTGAGCATGCGCTTGACGTCCCGCAGCGCCGCCATGTGCTTCTGTGAGTTCTGCAGCACCATTGCCACCAGCCCCTGCAGGACTTCACCGCCGCACCACCACCGCCCGCAGCAGAGTCAGGGCCAGCAGGCGGGGGTGTGGCGGCAGCAGTGGTGGCGGAGAAGGCGGCTGATTGGAGCGAGGAGAAGCGCTTGGCTAGGCGCGAGAGGATGGTGGTCTGCGTGGAGACGGCGCGGAGGAGCAGCGTGAGCTGCGTTCCGTTGCGCACCTCCGCCAGCACCTGCTGCAGCAGCCGCTCCATCTGCTGCGCCTGCTGCGCTGACACCTGTGCCTGTGGCTGCAGCTGTGTTGGGGGAAAGAGGGGGGGGAGAAGGGGGGAAAGACGTGGCGAAGAGGGAAAAATGGGGGAGAGCAGGGGAAGGAGGAAAGTACGGGGGAGAGAGATGAGTTACGAGCGGACTCAAAAGCGGCACTGAAATGACTCTTGCGATGACTTATCTTGACTCCCATTGACACCCCCATTGACTCGCATTGACCCCCATTTACCTCATTGACCCTCATTGCCTCGTGATGACCCTCGTTGACTCGTGTTGACCCCCATCGACTTCAGTTGACCCCCATTGACGCCCAGTTGACCCCCTATTGACCCCCTCACTGGCATCGCCTCTAGGTGACTCACATCCATGTCGAGCGACGGCAGCTGTGGTAGCTGCTCGCCCAGCCCCAGGCCCAGCCCGCCATTAGCCGTGGCAGCCTTGATATGCGCCACCAGCGCCTTGAGCACCCCGAGAATGCGGATGAGCTGAGGGAATGGTGAAGGGGGGGGAGGGAGGTTGGGAGAGACATGAGGGGGCGAGTGGGTTACAGGACTGTGAGGAGGCACACATGTGACATGCCTCCCGGCCCACCGTTGGCCCTGGCGGCCTTTATGTGCGCCATGCCACCAACGCCTTGAGCACCGCCAGAATGCAGATGAGCTGCCTGAGAAGAGAGGGGGGGATGTGGGATGGAGGGGAGAGGGGTGGGGAAGAGGAGAGTGAGGAGGCACGTGTGCGCCCCAGTCCAGCCGCCCTGGGCAGTTGCAGACTCGGGCTTGCGTTGGTCGTGGCAGCCTTGATGTGTGCCACCAGCGCCTTGAGCACTGCCAGCATGCGTGTCCTTCCCCTGGCCCGCCTTGACGGGACCACTGCGCCCAGCAGCCACACCTCAACAACCCTGCCCTGACGGAAGCACCCAAGGGAAACACCTGAGGGGGGCACTTGAGGGAAGCACCTGAGGGAAGCACCTGAGGGAAGCACCTGAGGGAAGCACGTGAGGGAAGCACCTGAGGGAAGCACCTGAGGGAAGCACCTGAGGGAAGCACCTGAGGGAAGCACCTGAGGGAAGCACCTGAGGGAAGCACCTGCAGGGCAAACTCTTACTCGACTTGCCTCGGTGCTCAAGTGAGTATTGCAAACAACAAGGCGAGTTTTACTCACTTTGGTCCTTCACTCATGAGTCATGTCTACCCTGCAAGGAGCACCTGAGGAAGCACCTGCGGGAGCACCTGAGGGGAGCACCTGAGGAAGCACCTGAGGAAGAACCTGAGGAAGCACCTGTGGGAGTACCTGAGGGGAGTACCTGAGGGGAGTAGTCCGTCGTTGACTGCCTTGACTTGAGGTCCTCCATTGACTCCTGCTCACATGCTCACATCGCATCGCATCGCATCACATCACATCACATCATATCACATCCCATCACACACCACATCAAACCATATCACATCACATCGCATCCCATCACACCAGATGCACGCATGCGGCAAGATTCAAACCAGAAAGTGACTGTGAGAGATGGGCAGTGTACAAAGGAGCAGCTGCTGCAGCAGCAAGAGCATGACAGCACACACACCTGCAGCGTCTTGAGGGCCAGCAGCTGCTTCCTGGAAGCCGCGACCGCCTCCCTCACCCCCATCAAGCTCGCTCCGCTGCCCGCTGCCCCTCCTGCTCCTCCTGCCCCTCCCTGCTCCTGTGTATGTCATGCCGTGCCATGCCAAGCAACACATAGGGTGTGGTTGATGTGAGTTGAGGTTCGAGAAATCTGGCAAGCGATCAGAAGAGCATCATGCATGCATGCATGTGTGCAGTTCAACTGCCATGCCATGTGATGATGCGTGACAACCCTTCCACTGCTGTACTCAACCACTTGCATTGCATGTGACCGCACGCACCGCGCAGCACCCACCTCCATCTGCTTGGAGAGCGCCTTGACTGAGGTGAGCAGGCTGGAGAGAAACGCCTCTGTCTTGCGCTGCCAGGGGGGGGCGTGGCCGCAGCACGCACGCCCAGTAGCAGCATATAGGGGGCAGGCATGGAGGAGGGGGCGTGGGGGAGAGGGAGGGGAATGGAGTAGGGGGGGGGAAGGGGGATCGGGAAGGGGAGAGGAATGAGATGAGGGTTGGGTGGGTTACAAGCACGAGAGTTGTGCAGCTTTCCTTAGCTTGAAGTGAAGGCACACGTGCATGCAGCCCTGTTGAAGAGTTGAGGCAGGGGCTTGTGTTGAGATGAATTGAATGTGCCCTGCTCCATTTGGATGGAGCATTGCTTACAAGTGGGCGAGGGGATGGGGATAGAAAGGGAATCCTCCCCGCTCTCCCCCTGCTCTCACCCTGCCCCTCCCTGCCCTCCCCCTGTCCCCCCTTGCTCCCCCCCTGGTCCCCCCTGATCTTCCCTGCCCCTGACCTTCCCTCCCGCTCTTCCCTCGCTTGTCCCCGCCTGGGAGAGCACCTGGGAGCGAGCGGACGCGGATATGAGCACGGCCAGCTTCTCCTTGCTCACATCTCCGCTGCCTCTCCCGCCCTCCCCCCTTCCCCCTGCCCCTCCCCCCCTTGAGGCCACACCTGGGAGCAAGCGGAGGCGGAGATGAGCACGGCCAGCTTCTCCTTTGTCACATCTCCGCCGCCCCTCCCGCCATCCCCGCCTCCGCCAATGGCGTCCACGGCTGTTGCCACGTGGATCTGCACCGTGGCGCTGTGATTGCGGATCTCCATTGCCAGCTGGCGCAGCTGACCTGGCAATGATGATGCATGCACGCACACACGCATGTGCGCACGCACACGCACGGACATACGGCACACACACGGATACAAACATGCACCAAGATAAGGACACAGACACGGAAAAGACAGACACACACACAGGTACAGGGACAGATAGACACTCAAAGACAGAGCCAAATATGATACACATGCATGCATGCACGCACACGCACACACAGAAACACGATACACACATATGCACACACACAATCAAGCAAGCACATGCATGAAGCAAAAGCATGGTGCCACATCTCAAAGCTCCACGCTGCTCCCCCTATCACACGGTCATAGGGCACCCTAACCCAGCCTCGTGGGTACAGCAAAGCCGGTTGTTTCAGGAAGCAAGGCGGGGCTATCACACTCTGGCCCGGGCCGGCCCGAGATGTGGAGCTGGCCAGTCCATCACATTGCATGGAAGCACGGTTGGGCAGAACGTACAGTGGAGGCAGTTTCGAGAATGCTCACATGTGACTCTAGAGCCTTCGCATCACAAACAAGTCACTCGAGGAAGCGGCTCAGCCGTGGTGGCGGGCCTATGAGGAACGAGTCCCAACTCCCGACAAGGCGGACAGGCGTTAAACAAGCAAGCGTGTGTTGTAGGCAAGCAGTAGCGCTGCAGGGAGTGCATGCGTGCGTGACAACTAGGCATGCCACCCACCGGTGTGCAGGGCTGCAGTTACTCACTCACTCACTCGCTCACTCATTCGCTCACTTTCTGACTCACTCACCCACTCACTGTCTGACTGACTGACTGACTGACTGACTGATTGACTGACTCACCCACACACTTAATCACTCACGGACTGACTGTCTGACTGACTGATTCACTTACTCACTCACGCACTGACTGGCTGAATGTTTGAATGCCTGACTCTCTGACTAACTGACTCACTCACTCGTTTGCTCATTCACTCACTGTCTGACTGACTGACTCACTCACTCACTGACTGTCTGACTGACTGATTCACTTACTCATTCAATGTCTGTCCGACGTCTGAATGACTGAATGACTGAATCTCTGAGTGACTGGGCACCAACGTAGTGCTGCCGTGTCTCACTATTGACTGATCAGAGAGCACTCGCCACTAGGTGGGTGCAGTGCGGTGCAGTGCAGCACTAACTGGTCTGCAGGGCGACGTGGTCGGTGAGGGCGGTGGCGACGGAGAGAGTGTGGTTCTCCAGAGCGCCCACCAGCACGCGCATGTCATGTGCCTCGTTGCCCGCCTGCTCCGTTATGCTGGGTTGTGAGGAGGACGGGGGAGGGGTGGGGAGTGGTGGGGGGTGGGGGTAAGATATGTGGTATGGGGATGTAGCAAGCAGTGGGTGATTGTAGCGGTTGGTTACTAGAGGGACGGCACTACCACTGCTGGCACGTGCGTGACTGCGGTGCGGTGCGATCCGCACCTCTCTGTGCCGCACCTCTCTGTGCCGTACCTCTCTGTGCCGTACATCTTTGTGCCGTACCTCTCCGTGCCGAACCTCTCTGTGCCGAACCTCTCTGCGCCCTACCTCTCTGCGCCCTACCTCTCTGCGCCCTACTTCTCTACGCCCTACCTCTCTGCGCCCTACCTCTCTGCGCCCTACCTCTCTGTGAGCGCCACTACGATCTGCTCGATGCTGGAGAGGTGCCGCGCCACCATCATGTACTGCGCGCGGAGAGGAGGATGGGGGGGAGGGCAGGGGGAGTGGGGGGAAACGAAGGGGAGAAGGGGGAAGGGAGGGGGAGAGAGGGGGGAGCGGAGAAGGGGAGATAGGGGAGAGGGTGGGGGGCGGGGAGAGGGGCGAGAGGAATGGGGCAGAAAGGGGAGGATGGAAGATGAATGGAAAAGGGGACGACGGGGGGAAACGAAGGGAGGGGAAAGGGCAGCGAGGAGGGGGTGAGGCAGAAAGCGGCGCGAGAATTCGCGGTGCATTGCGATGGCGCCCTCCGCCTCGTGCCCCCCGCGCTCTCCCCCCCGACTGCCGCCTTTGCCGCACGCACAGCCGAGGCAGCAGTCTCCGCATGTCCCGCCTGTCAACCCCCGTGCGGACATGTCAACCCCCGTGCGGACATGTCAACCCCCGGGCAGTTCTTCTGTAGTCATGCCTGCTGGTTGTGTCTCAGCGCTTTCTGCTTCCTGAATTGCCGCTTGCTCCTTTTCCACTTGCTCCGTTCGACTTGCGGTTGGTGTGTGACAGGTGGTGCAAAGTCCGTGGGCGTCAAGTTTGTGAAGGTTGATTTCACGCGGGTGAGGGCTTCAACGAACCCACGGTCTTCCATCCGGATGTCAGAATCCTAGAACGAGAATGAATGAACTATGAATGAAGTGAGTACAAATATGAAACCCTAATTGGGTTGTACCCCCTATGGGATACCCCACTATAGCCTACACAACAGCATAAGCTATAATGTTCTGACACACCCCCATAGGCAAAGTGGGGGAGAACAAGGGGTCATAAGACCAGTCAAGCAAAGCAAAGCAAAGCAAGCTCAGGGTGGATCACAAAGTCACCACACATTCTGAGCACAAGTGCAAGGCCACAAGGCCAGTTAACATGCAGGAGTACATATATATAAAGGACTAGACAAGCAAGAGCAGGAGTATATATATGCAACAGTACAAGCAAGGTCAAGAGGTGAGCAAGTGAGGCAAGACAGGCACAAGACCCAGCTGCGTGCAGAAGCGCTGATGATCACAAGGTGCAAGTGCCTTGGTGAAGACATCAGCAGTGTTGGCCTCAGAGGCCACGTACGCAAGCCGCAACTGACCACGCTGCTGTAGCTCACGAGCAAGGAAGTAGCGAAGAGCAATGTGCTTTGTTCTGTGCTCCAGTCTCTGCTCTCGACAAAAGGCCAGCATGGCCTTGTTGTCTACGTACAGGACTGGAGGAGAACGAGGCGGCTCTCCAAGGCCGGCTAGTAGGTAGGTGAGCCAGCGAAGCTCCTGTGCAGCCATGGCCCCGGCGTAGATCTCAGCCTCACAACTGGAGCCGAGAACAGAAGACGAGCGAGTAGCCCGCCACGAAACAGAGCCGGAACCAAGGCTGAAGGTGTAACCCTGTGACGACCGCTGCGTAGCCTGGTCGTCAGCCCAAGAAGCGTCCATGTGCCCAGTGAGGACCACTGGACTCCGCCCTCCAAGCACTAGCCCCATGCCCGACGTACTGCACAAGTAGCGCAACACCCTCTTCGCTGCAGCCATGTGCTCTGGTCGGTGTCTCCCAGGAGCAACATAGCGTGCAAGAATGCTAAGAGGGTATGCAAGGTCAGGTCGTGTGCAGGTCATCAGGTACATGAGGCAGCCAACAAGCTCTGGATACGGGCCACTCGACTCTACAGACTCATCCGAAGGCAGAGCTGAGAGCGAGTGGCGAGTAGGCAGAGGAGTGGCCTGAGGCGAGGAGTACGTGAAGCCGAAGCGCTGAAGGACCTGCTGCACCATGTGTGACTGAGTCAGGGTAATGGTGCGGCGTGCTCTGTCCCAGATGATCTGCAAGCCAAGGTAGCTGCGCAGTTCACCCAGGTCTGTGCACGTGTGTCTCTTCTGCAGCTCGGACTTCACGTAGGCGAGTCCAGCAGTGTCAGCTGTGGCAAAGACCAAGTCGTCGACGTACACGAGGATTTTGTTTGTTTGTTTTTTTTTTTTTTTGAACGAGAATGAATGAACTATGAATGAGTTGGGTACAAGTACTAACCCTAATTGGGTTGTACCCCTTATGGGCTACCCCACTATAGCCTACACAATATGCATAAGCTATAATTTTTTGACAAACTCCCCCCCGCCCAAGTGATGAGGCTATCAACTCTGCGCAAACACGCTTCCTCAGCGTTTCATGTCAGAATCCCAACCACTAGACCATTGGGATAAAAGGGCTTTGGTAAGTAGCGGGTCAGAGTGCGCCCATAACCCCCCAGGCAAACGCGTCTGTAACCCCCCGTAGGATCAATCGGGCATCTACAGTGCAGATCTACTGACACCCCCCCACACTAGGAGGCCCAGGACTGAGCACAACGGCAACGGCCTACATGTGCATACACCGAGATTCGAACCCGAGACCACTCTGACACCATGTCAGAATCCCAGTCACTAACCACTGGGATAGAAGGGCTTGTTTAAGTAGCGGGTCAATGCGCCCATAACCCCCCAGGCAACCGTGCCTGTAACCCTTCCCTAGGATCAATCGGGGATCACCAGTGGACCTCTGACATTTCAAAGATTAAGACTACTGCCGCGTTCGACGGCAAGGATTTTTACACATGGAGTTTTGAGCTGGAGCTCCTCCTACAAACGGCGCAGATCTACCATTACTTCGACGGTTATCCTAAACCGGCGGAAAACACCGACGTCGCCAGGGCTCACTACTACAGTGAGTCCCTCATGGCCTACAGTGTACTACTACGCAACATGACGCCTGCGGAACAACTCAACATACACTCCTACAAAGAGAGCGACGCTCCAGCAATGGAAGACTGGAAGCACCTCGTTGAAGTTTACCAGCCGAAGGATTCGGTCACCGCCAGCAGGCTTCTCCAGTAACTCCTGGAGATAAAGATGGGGGACGGGGAGAAGGCAAATCCATATATTAACCGCTGTCGCAACATCCGTGTCCAGATCATGAAGCATGGGAGTACGATCTCAGAAGAGATTTTCGTCAATATAGTCCTTCAAGGACTCGGGCCTGAGTGGAAGCCCTGCAAGGCGTTACTCCGACAGCGAGGAACAATTTCAGAAGCCGCGCTATGTGCCGCACTCCTGTCCGAACACCAGGATATGGACTCAAGCGGAACAAGCTCCGCGCCGCGCCGAGAGCGCCTCGCCTTCTACACGGACAACCGAGAAGAGCGACGACAACCAAGGCGCCATTATTGCAAAATATGCAAAGTCTTCGGACACTCAACGAATCGATGCACATCCCGATCCAACTACCGCCACCCAAATTCCACTCACCACAACAACTGGGTCGGCCGACAAGACGCTCGTCACCCTCAACCTCAGCATCAGCAAGCTCATCCTCCTGCGCAACACCAGGAAAATCAAGGACCACAGTCAGGAGCTCCCAGGAACATCATCGCAAATATGACGACACGACGCCGGCGCACCACTGAACCTGACAAGGAGAACGAAGTCTAAGGAAAGACTACTGGAACCAGAAGAGGGATGGAATAATCCCTTCACCGAGGATCACTACTACCTGTACGACGAAGACGAGCAGGACTGGAACCTTCCAATCACGCTGCGGGAAAGCCCGCCTCACGAAAATCAGCACTACGTACCAGTGGGCTGGAAGGAGGACGAAGATCCTCACTTCCACAGGCACTTCAAGACCACCCTGGTAACTCCACGATTGGTGCTGCTGCTGCGCCACAACAACACTGGCAATTACAACACCTGGTACCTGGACAGCTGCTCCGGCCAGCACATGGTGGGGTCCACACGATATGTCTCTAACCTAAGTCACGCCCCTGCAACTTATGTCACCGTCGCCAACAACGAGCAGCTGCGCGCAAACTCACAAGGACTCGTCGTCCTGCAAGCACGAGATAGCAACACGCACATCTCGTTCAACGACATACTCTACGTCCCGAACCTGCGCTTCAACCTGCTCTCCGCTGGACAGCTCCGCGATTGCGGCGTCATCATCTACACGGACCTCGCGACGCGCGATCTCATCCTCACCTACGCTCCCTCGGACAATCCTCCAGAGGCATTCAAGTACCTTGGACGAGCTCGCTCCATCAATGGGATCTATATCCTAGACTTCGACACACCTCCCTGTAAAGCCTCGTCGGACGAGCTCGTGGATCTTGTCCCCCTCGAATTCGCTTTCATGAACAAGGAGTCTTTCATGAATTCGCTTTCCTCCAGTTGCTGAGTCTGGTAGGGTAGCTGCGTCAGGTCAGGTGTTCCCTGCTGCGTCCAGGTCTGGTCCTGAGTCTGCCCCCTGTTCGTGTCGTCTCCTGTCTCACGAGACTCTCCTCTGGCACCACCGCCTTGGTCACCCCTCTCTGCTTCGGCTCAGAGGCATGGCCTCTCGTCTTCTTGTTTCTGGTCTCCCCCGGTCCCTCCCTCCCCTTCCTCAGGGCCCTGGCCCTACCAGTGTCCCCTGTGTCGAATGGCGCCAGCGTGCTGCCCCTCTCTCCTCCCAGTTTCCTCCGACAGAGGCCCCGTTGCAGACGCTTCACATGGACGTGTGGGGCCCAGCCCGCGTCCGTGGACAGGGTCACGAGCGCTACTTCCTGCTAGTTGCTGATGACTACTCGCGTTACACCGCAGTCTTCCCCTTGCGCAGCAAGGGTGATGTCACTGAGGTGCTGATCGACTGGATCTGCGCAGCTCGTCTCCAGCTCAGGCAGAGCTTTGGCTCGGACTTTCCTGTTCAGCGTCTGCACTCGGACAGAGGCGGAGAGTTTTCCTCTGGCCTTCTGAGAGCCTATTGTCGCACACGAGGCATCCGTCAGACCTTCACGCTT